CCGCCTGACCCCTCTTACAGCCCCAATGCCCCCTGATGGGCAGAATCACAGCCTCTAGGACAGGAGTCCCCTGTTCTTCTTCTTTACTAGCAAAGCAATAAAACTTTTTCCTTTTTCTCAAAACCGTATCCTCATTATTGGATTGGCACAAGGACAGAGATTTTTGTAGGTTATTAATATTATTACCATTATCATTACTATTGAGTTGTTTTGAGTTTCATACATATTCTGGCTATCAAACTCTTGTCAAATATATGGTTTGCAAATATGTCCTTTCATTCTGTAGGTTGTTTCTCCACTCTCTTGTTGCCTAAGCTTTTTTTTTTTTTCTTTCTTAGGTTCTCACTAAGTTGCTTAGGGCCTCACCAAATTCCTGAGGTTGGCCTTGAGCCTGCAATCTTCCTGCCTCAGCCTCCTGAGCAAGTGGGATTACAGATATGTGCCACCATGGCTGGCAAGCTTTTTGGTATCATGTAATCCTGCTATAGTTTAGATGTGAGGTGTCCTCCAAAACCTCACATGTGAAACAATGCAAGAAGATTTAGCTGGGTTCAGTGGTGCATACCTGAAATCCCAGCAACTCATGCAGCTGAGGCTGGAGGATTGCAAGTTTGAGACCAGCCTCAACAATTTAGCAAGGCCCTAAACCATTTAGTGAGATCCCCCCTCAAAATTAAAAATAAAAGGGCTGAGGATGTGACTCAGTGGTAAAGTATTTCTGGGTTCAATCCTCATACCAAAACAACAACAAAAAGGTTTAGAGGTGAAGTTATAGGGTTATAAGAGAGTCTCAACCCAGATCAGTTAATTAACCCCTATAGGGATTAACTGAGTGCTAATTGAAGGCAGGTGGGGTGTGACTGGAGGAAGTAGGTGGTTGGGATGTACCTTTGAAGTATACATTTTGTCCCTGGTGAGTGGTGGGTGTGTCTACTTCCTTTTTGTTTTTTTTTTTTAACTGTGGTCTTTTTCCTTTTATTATTTTTTTTATTGGTTGTTCAAAACGTTACAAAGCTCTTGACATATCATATTTCATATATTAGATTCAAGTGGGTTATGAACTCCTATTTTTACCCCAAATACAGATTGCAGAGTCACATCAGTTACACATCCACATTTTTACATAATGCCATATTAGTAACTGTTGTATTCTGCTACCTTTCCTATCCTCTACTATCCCCCCTCCCCTCCCCTCCCATCTTCTCTCTCTACCCCATCTACTGTAATTCATTTCTCTCCTTG